ATATATAGTTACTCAGAATCTTCAAGAACAGCAGCTGGAAGTGGGAGTGAAATAAGGAATGAGAGGAAGGAGTTTTCCCATACCCAAATAAAAGAAAATGTGTAGCACTGAATTCAGCAAATATTTCCTGAGGAACTACCGTGTGCTCAGCCCTACACACAATACAAAGGAAAGACCCAACCCTCGTCTGGTCAGGGCTTTCATTCTTGTATGAACACAAGTAACAATGATGTATTAACCGCATTAGGGTACAAAGTACTGGGGATAGGCTTGCCAGATTTAGCAACAAAATAAGATACCCAGTTGAATTTGAATTTCAGATAAACAATAAGATCACTAGAAACAGTCGCTTATCTGAAATTCAAATTTGACAGGGTGTCCTGCATTTCACATGGCAAGCCAAGAAGTGACAGAATTGCAGTCTGAACAGAAGCAGAGACAGAGGCAGGAGGGCTTATACAAGGGTTCAGAGAATAAGTAGGTGATGTATTTAAAAGAAAGAAGAATAGGAAATAAGGCCAGCAAAGTAGGTGAAGCCATGTTGAGAAGATCTTGAGAGCCAGGGCAGGAGAGAAGGAGGAAGAGGAACCAGTAAAAGACCAGTTAGAAAGGCAGGTGGAAAACCAAAGGAGTAGAGTGCAGTGTTCTGGGAAGCAGTAGAGAAGACTGGCCAAGGAGAAAGGGGCAACCTAACAGGTCTGGTCTTCAAATGCAAATGTCACATGCTCCAAGGAGGTTCAGTAGGAATAGGAACCATGAAGCTCACTGAATTCAGCAACTGAGCTTATCCGATGAACATTAAAATCACGAGGATGGGTAAAAGGGTACCCTTTTTACCCATCGGGTTAACAAACTTCAAAAAGTTTGAAAAGAAGCAATGTTGGGGAGTGAGGGTGAGGGAAATAAGACGTGATGGTGGGAATAAAAATTCTTAGCCTCTTTGAAGGCAATTTGACTAAATAATCAGTGTAATATACGAAAGGCCAGTGCTATGTGTATATTGCACACCAGGTGCTCTTCTAAGCAGTTTTATGTGTATTAACTCATTCAATTTTCACAGCAACCCTATGAGGAAGGTACTACGACAGATGGGGAAAACTGTTGCCCAGAGTGGCTAAGGGACTTGTCCACGTTCACCCAACTGGTAGTGGCAGAGCCAACACTTGGCTCCAGGCGGTGTTCTACTATACTACACTCCGTCAAAAGTCTAAAATATGGCTACTCTAACACAGAAATTCCCTAAGAATATGTTCTACCAGAATATTTGCACATGTGTGCAACGGCAACTGAACAAAGTTATTAATTACAGCATGGTTCGAAAAACAATCTGAATGTCCATTAGTAAGAGACTAATTAAATGCATACTGGGAGCACCTGGGTGGCTTAGTTGGTTGAACGTCCAACTCTTGGTTCGGCTCAGGTCATGATCCCAGGGTGGTGGGATCGAGCCCTGTGTTGGGCTCTGCACTGAGAGTGGATCCTGCTTAAGATTCTCTCCCTCTCCCCCGCCCCTCCCTCCTGCTCTCTATCTCTCTCTGTAAAATAAAAAGAATAAAAAATAAACCATATTGGTACAACCTTACAGTGGAAAACTATGCAGCTCTTACAAAGAATGAAGTAGATCTATACATATGCGTATTTCTGAGATACACGGTTATCAACCAATCAATATCAGTCTCTGAGATACATGGTTAGGTGAAAAAAGCAAGATGTTGAGCAACGTGTGTTACTAAGGCAGTCAAAAAAATGAATATAGATGTATACGCACACACATCTATGCTTGTACATACAAAGATTACTTTGAACAGATGTGTGCCGAGGCGATCCAGAAAACAGTTGATTCCGTGGAAGAGAGTAGTCAGGGACAAGTGGGAGGGAAGGAGGCTTACTTTCACCTCATTCCCTTTGGGGCTATTTGAATTTTTCTCCTTGTGCATGCACTGCCTTTTGAAAACAAGCCAAGTTTTTTAGGTTTTAAAAAAGGGATCCTGGCAGCCAGTGGTCTTGTAGCTCTCCCCACTTTATAATGTGCACTCACGTGCATGATTTTTTTTTGGATCCTCAGTCTTTGAGGAAAGCCTGATTTACTCCTTTCTGGAGAGTCGTTTTACAGACACGAAAAACTCCAATCAGAGACATCCTTCTGGAATGGCCTCTCTGGACCAGCAGAGCTGCTGTAGTGGTGCTTTTGTTATCCTTAGTGAGAGGCAGAGGCCTGTGGGGTTAGCTGCCTCAGCACGCAGAGCTCCCCCCAGTAATTAAGCAACCCCAAACCTGACTGCAAGGCTTTTATAAGCAGCTTCTGCAATGTGGTTTGGGGAGAACAGAGTGACTAGGGGTTAATCGAGGCGGGTGGGGAGAAATGACTGCTGACTATGGTCTTTGAAGAAATTTGGTGAGGAAAAGGAGAGAGACATGAGGGTGGAGAAAGGCAAACTCAGAGAGATTGTGTGACCAGTCAGTAATGGGATGAGCTGGGTCTTTGCCAATCACAGGTCTAGTGTTTTATCTTAGCTCTGCTGGAGGGAAAACCATGTGTCCTTAAGGCAAGTTCCTTTTTTTTTGTTTTTAATGTAAGTATTGCACAGTATTTGAATACAAGTCTGGATGTAAAAAAATTTCATGCAGTGTGAATAACACAAAAGCCACATCAGCCCCACTCAGTTTCACGTTCCTTACCAAAGGAACCTACCATATCACATTGCTGTGGGTTTTTCTGAGATGTTTTTATATGCACAATTATGCCTAAGGTATAGTATATATGTAATATATATATTGTATATAATATATATTTTATATATATATATGGCACAACGTATATAATATCTACATATCAATATAAATCTCCAATATGTGTATTTGGAAACACAGTTTGGTTTACAGAAATGAGATCATTCTACGTATGTGCTTGTATATGTACATATGTACATGTAATTTTTTTTTTGTTTAAAATATGTCTTGGGGCTATTTTCATGTCAGTACATATTGATGTGCTTTATTTTTTTATAGCTGCTGCATCATATTCCATAAAATGTATTTAGCATAGCTTATTTAACCACACTACTGTTAACGAATTGTAAGGCTTCTTATACATTTTTACCAACATGAACAATGCTGCGGTGAATATCCGTGTGCATGCTTTTATGTGCAAACGTTCCTCATGTTTTTCTATGGTAGTTAGATACCGAGAAATTGGATTGCTGGGATGAAGGGTATGCACAATTAAAATTTTGATGGCTACTACCTAATTGTCCTCCAGAATGTGCATACCAACTTAGATTTCCACCAGCAATATACTGGAGCATTCTTTTCCCTATATATCAGCTCTGGACATTATCAAACTTAAATTTTTGCCAGTGTGACAAGTGAAAAATATCTCATTGTTGTTTTTTATTTTTCCTGTCCTCAATTACTAGCCAGCATCTTTTCATATGCTAATTGATAATTTGTTGTTCTCTTTCTTCTTCTGTAAATTGTTCACATCTGCAATGGATATTTCCATTATTTCACTGGCATCTGCCCCTTTCCCTCTACGATTGTATAACAGAAATTCCATCTGGGTGGGACAGACCCTGTTCCCAGCTCTAGTGAGTGCCATAATCTAATCAGCACAACCTGATTAGATTTCCCATGTGATTGAATCAAAAGCCCTGTGTATCCAGGCTCAGACCAATCAGGCAGGAACATGTATGTATTCCTCCAGTATAGTAGGCACAGTGCCTAGGGCCCACAGTCTTTTTAAGACTTAAGAAAATGTCTTGGGGCACCTGGGTGGCTCAGTCAGTTAAGCATCCCACTTAGGCTCATGCCATGATGTCACAGTTCATGGGTTCGAGCCCCTGACAGCTCAGTCTGGAGCCTGCTTCGGACTCTGTGTTTTCCTCTCTCTCTCTCTGCCCCTCCCCTGCTTGTGTTCTTTCTCTCTCTTAAAAATAAATCAACATTAAAAAAAAAAAAAAAGACAAGATAATGTCTTCATTTTTTTTCCTAGAATTAAAAGGAAAAAAATGAACTTTTAGGTTAAAGAAGAAGCTTCAGTATTTGTTATGGACTGAATTGTGTTCTCCCCAAATTCATAGGTTGAAATCCTAGTCCCCAGTGTAATATAGTGTGCCTATATTTAGAAATAAGGCCTTTACGGAGGTAATTAAGGCTAAATGAAGTCATAAGAGTGAGACCCTAATCCCACAGGACCAGTGTCCTTCTAAGGAGAAAAAGGGATACTCAAAAGTTCTCTCTCTCCACGTCCACACAGACTAAAGGCCATGTGAGCACACAGCAAGAAGGTGGCCATCTGAAAGCCAGGAAGAGAGGTCTTACTAGACACTAGCTGATGGGCCCTGCAGTCGGGCCTTGGCATTCTCTTGGAACAGGCCTTTAGAGTAATGACAGGGAAAGAAGACTGCTCTGGGTTGTTAAGTGTGCTAATGTGAGGCTTGGCCCGGCTGTAGCCACTTTGCTATTACAAGGGAAGCTGACATACTGAAGAAGATAAAGGTCACAGAAAATGCAGTCAGAGCTCTGAGCCTTCATCCCTAAAAAAATTAAGAAAAAAAATTTTCTTTACCAAGTAATACAAACATGCATTCCATTTTAAAAGTTAAATAGAAAATTTATTTTTAATAAAAGTAGTCCTTGGTGGCTCAGTCAGTTAAACACCTGACCCTTGATTTCAGCTCAGGTCATGATTTCATGGTCTTGAGATTGAGCCCCTGTGTGGAGCTCTGTGCTGAGCGTGGAGCCTGCTTGGGTTTCTCTCTCCCCCTCTCTCTCTGCCCCTCCCCTGCTCGCGCTCCCTCCTCCCTCTCTCTCAAAAAACAAAAACAAAAAAAAAAAAACTTTTAAAAAAGCAGTCTTTTATCCCCCCCCTTTCCCTACCCCCCCCCCCCCCCCAGTGGCAACCTCCCTCATCTCTTCTGGATGCTTCCACAGTATTCATGTGTCTTTATAATTGCTGTTTTTGTTTTTACTCTAATTATAATAACAGGAACTGACACATGTAAAGTGCTTAATAAATGGTAGCTTTAATGTCAGAAATCATCAAAGCAACCCAATGAGGAAAATATTATTCTCTTGATGAGGAAACCTGAGCTCCAGAGAAGATGTTACTTTCACGAGATTTCACACCTTGTACGTGGCCGGAGTCAGGATTCAAATCCAGAGCCCAGGTCTTAACCACAGTGATTTATGTATCACCTGCAACCATAGTTTTGAAAACTGCCAGGTTGGAATGTGGCATAGTAGAACTTGCTAAGAATAAAGGAGGTAAGGCGTGGTGACGATGGGGACCCAGATTTAGCGGGAGGCCTTAGAATAGGGTTGCCTGATAAATTACCTGACACCTAGTTAAATTTGGATTTCAGATAAACCATGCATAGTTTTTAGCAATAAGTAGGTACCAACCAAAAAGTTATTGGTCGTTTATATGAAATTCATATTTAACTAGAGGTCCTGATTTTTTTATTTGGGAACTAAGGGCATGATTCCAACTGGGAGTTAAACCCCCAGCGTGGAGCCTGCAACTAGAGCATCTGCGAGGAACTGTGGTAAATCCAACCCCTGTCACTAGGCGGCAGTAGAGAACCGAGCAGGACAGGGGGAGGGACTACAGGTGTGTGCAGAGCAGGTCTAGGGAAGGGCCTTGTGACTGCCAAGGATCTCAAATCAAACCACAAAAGAAGAAACAGGCAGGTCACAGAAAGAACAGCTTATGCATGACTAATAAACGTGAGAAGAGGCTGAATCCCATTCATAATTAAATGAGTAAACCTAATGAGATGTTTCCCACCTCTCAAATTGGCAAAAATAAAAATATCAAAAGGATTAGTAACACTCAGTGTTGTGAAAGTGTGAGGAAATACCATGTGAGTGGAGACTGATGCATCATCTTTGGATTAATATCAAAATCAAAAATGCATGCTGCCTTTAGCCAGTGATTTAGCTCTTTCTTAGGGATTTATCAAACAGCTTTGCTCATACGCAGACATTCATTGTTGTACTAGCCAAAACCTAGTACAGCCTAAATATCTACCCAATGGGGACTGATTAACACGTGGTAACATATCCAGGTAATGGGATACCATGCAGCCATTTAATGAATGGTGTAGATCTGTGGTATATACATCTGTTGGTGAGCAGCACACATACACCGATGAGGAAAGAATTCCAGGATATTCTGCCAAGTGAATAAAGCAAGAGGAACATCATCATACAGAGTTTTTCCAGTTTGTGCGTAACGGAGAGGGGAGGGAGGAGACCGATTTATAAATTCATTGAACATTTTGTAAGGATATCCAAGAAACCATCCACAATGGTTCTCCCTGGGGAGGGAGGCAGGGGGTGAAGGATGGGAAGGAAACTTACTGTGCACTCTTCTCCTCCTCCTTCTTCTTCTTTACCACAGACAGGTATTACCTTAGAAATTTAAAATAAAAAAGAAGTTTGAAAAAACAGAGAATGTCAGTGTTAGACTAACAGAAAGAAGGAAAAGTATCCAAAAAAATAAGATGGAGAAAGAAATGGACTCAGCCTTGGGGTGCCTGTGTGGCTCAGTCGGTTGGGCGTCAGACTTCCGCTCAGGTCATGAGCTCACGGTTCGTGAGTTCGAGCCCCGTGTCGGGCTCTGTGCTGACAGCTCGGAGCCTGGAGACTGCTCTGGGTTCTGGGTCTCCTCCTCTCTCTCTGTCCCTCCCATGCTCATGCGCTCTCTCTGTCTCTCAATAATAAAGAAACGTTAAAAAAATTAAAAAAAAAAAAAAAGAAATGGACTCAGCCTCTGGGGTTGGAGTGAGTCATCAGGCAGTAGCAAGCTGGGCAGGTCTGTCCAGAACACCTAGAAAAAAACCTTTGGTTTCCAGGACGCCTGGCCTGGCCTCCCTTGGCGTAAGCTGGGAAGATGATCACAGTTTCAGGACTCAAGAAGCTGCTGGGGGCTGGACTTGCCCACTGGCCCCTTCTTGGGCAGCTCAAGGATAAGATGACATTCATAAAAACTTTAGGTGAATGAGGCCAGCACAGGGCAGGGCCTGAAACCTCTTTTCACCTGAGTACCTTTCTTCAACTAACACAATCTTGGACATCACTTACATTTTAAATTTCACGAAGAGTTCGTGGTCAGCTTAGCCACTCAGGCTAGAAGATGAACAGTAGCAAGGAAAGAAATGCAGGGGGGCCTGAGGTATGGGCAGTGCTAAGGGAGGGAAACAGGAAGAAGTTTAGTCCAGGAGACAGAGTTTAGAATGAGAACAGTGGGTCTCAAAGTGTATACTCCAGACAGGGCCCTAAACATTGAAAAACGTAGACTCTACCTCCTACCACTTAAGTAATTGAGAAACAAAAAGGTATATGGGGCGCCTGGGTGGCTCAGTTAGCTAAGAATCTAACTTCAGCTCACGTCATCATCTCATGGTTCATGGGTTCGAGCCCCGTGTTGGGCTCTGTGCTGACAGCTCAGAGCCTAGAGCCTGCTTTGGATTCTGTGTCTCCCTCTCTCTGCCCTCCTCTGGTCCCACTTTCTCTCTCTCTCTCTCTCTCTCTCTCTCTCTCAGAAATGAATAAATGTTAAAAAAATTTTTTTTAAACAGGTATGGAAGTCCAGCAAAGTTCTGAATTTTCCCATTGTGATGACTCTGATCTTTTAAATACCAAACATAAAATTCTTTTCTAACGTTTCTGCTTCCCTTATTTGCTGAACTTGTGCTTTAGTCTCTCCACTGGATAACTCCTCGCTGTCTGCAGACTACTGGTATTAGAATCATCTGGCTTTATTTATTTTTTTTTTAATTAAAAAAAATTTTTTTTAACGTTTATTTATTTTTTGGGGACAGAGAGAGACAGAGCATGAACGGGGGAGGGGCAGAGAGAGAGGGAGACACAGAATCAGAAACAGGGTCCAGGCTCTGAGCCATCAGCCCAGAGCCCGACGCGGGGCTCGAACTCACGGACCGCGAGATCGTGACCTGGCTGAAGTCGGACGCTTAACCGACTGCGCCACCCAGGCGCCCCGGAATCATCTGGCTTTTTGATGGCTACGTCCGTGCTACTAAATGGGAAGCTCTGGAGGTGGGTCCAGGAAAGTGAATTTTCACCAGATGAAGAAATAAGAGCAATAATAAATATGGTCATAGCTGGTCTCCAAGGTGCCTCCATGACTTTTGCCTCCTGATATTCACACCCTTGTCTAGTTTCCTCCCACATTGTACCGGGGCCAGCATATGGCAAAAGTGAAGCCATGTCACTTCTGAGATTAGGTTATGAATGATTTAGGCTTCCATCTGGAGTGTCCGCTTTCCTTCTCTTTCTTGGATCTGTCACTCTGGAGAACCCAATTTCTGTGTTGTGAGCAGCCCTGCGGAGAGGCCCAAATAGCAAGGATAAGAAGCCTCTGTCCTGCGATGAATGGATAAGGAAGATGTGAGACACACACACACACACACACACACACACACACACACACACACACTGGAGTATTACTCGGCACTCAAAAAGAACGAAATCTTGCCATTTGCAACTACGTGGATGGAACTAGAGGGTGTTATGCTGAGTGAAATTAGTCAGAGAAAGGGGCGCCTGGGTGGCGCAGTCGGTTAAGCGTCCGACTTCAGCCAGGTCACGATCTCGCGGTCCGTGAGTTCGAGCCCCGCGTCGGGCTCTGGGCTGATGGCTCGGAGCCTGGAGCCTGTTTCCGATTCTGTGTCTTCCTCTCTCTCTGCCTCTCCCCTGTTCATGCTCTGTCTCTCTCTGTCCCAAAAATAAATAAACGTTGAAAAAAAATTAAAAAAAAAAAAGAAATTAGTCAGAGAAAGACAAGTGTCATATAACTTCACTCATGGAATTTAAGATACAAAACAGATGAACATAAGGGAAAGGAAGCAAAAATAATATGAAAATAGGGAGGGGAACAAAACATAAGAGATTCTTAAATACAGAGAACAAACTGAGGGTGGCCGGAGGAGTTGTGGGTGGGGGGATGGGCTAAATGGGTGAGGGGCATTAAGGAGGGCACTTGTTGGGGTGAGCACTGGGTATGATATGTAGGGGATGAATCACTGGGATCTACTCCTGAAATCATTATTGCACTATATCTAACTAACTTAGATGTAAATTTAAAAAATTAGAAAAAAAAGGAGCCTCTGTCCCACTAAGAACTGAAACTTGCCAACAACCAGGTGACAGGTTGGGAGTGTGTGATGAGTATGGAGATGACTATTGTCCCAGGCCACCAGCTGACATCTTGGCAAAAACCTCATGAGAGACTCTGAGCCAGATTTCTTTATCTCTGCTAAGCCACTTCTGGATTCCTGATCCTTAGAAACAGTGAGATAATCCAGGTCTATCTTTTTCAGCTGCTAAGTTTAGGGATAATTTGTTAAGCAGAAATAGATAACTAATACAAGTACCATTTGTTGAAAGCTTACTATGTATCATGTTCCTTCCAAGTGTTCAACAAACTTTATTCCACATGAATTTCTCAACACATTTGTGAGGTAGGAATTATCAGACCCATTTTACAGGGGAAGAAACTAAAGTTCGACACCAGGGCTGACATACCACAATTGTGTATATAAAGCTCAAAAGAGAATACCCAAAATGTTAAGGCGAAATATCACAAACTAGTACTCTTATAAATATATATATATATATATATATATATATATATTTATATATATAGATCTTACCTGCACTGTGATGGGTGCAATAATTATCAGAAAAAAATTTATATTTCTTGCAAAAAATGCACTCCCAAATGTCCTCAGAGGAGCTGAATTAGTTGACCATAAAGCATAATGTTTTCCATTTAGATTTTGGAGCATTCCTGCCAAATGCCGCGTTTTAAAATTTAGGCACAACGAACACTAAGGCAGCCTTTCTGACAATTAATTGCCATTAAAGCAGTTTCCCTCTTTTGTGAGTTTGTTTACTTATTTGCGTCAATAACATCACGCCATCAGCACGAATGACCGAAAGGAAAAAAAAAAAAAAAAAAAAGGCCAAGAGAATTTAAATGACTTACATGGATTCTCACAGTGGTTAGTTGACTTGCTAAGCCCGGAATGGAGCCTGGGCCTTTAGACACCTGCACTGGGGCCAATGACTATAGCTTGAGGTTTTCTCTCTTTACTTGGTGAGCTCCTATCCGGTTCCATGCATTCCAGTCATATACACAAGGTGGGGCTGGGCTGCAGGTCCTGAAGGCGCCTTGGATGTCAGTGTCGACTTTACCAGCTGCATGACGTGACCTTTGGGAGGAGAGAGGGAAGCTGTGGCTTAAGGGGCTGAATGTTATTGGACCCCTCCCACCAGCTCCTCCGCCTGTGCTCATTTCTGCTGTGCTGGGAAGCAGCGGTAGACCAAGCAGGGAGTGTGAGAACCATCTACACCTGACATCAAATCCTGGCTCTCCCAGTTTCTTGCCGTGTGATCTTAGACTCGCAACGTGGCCTTTCTCTACCCGAGCTCCTTATTTTCACTAATTAATTAATGCATTCATGCAATGACACGTTTAGTTAAAAATACTTATTGAGAACTTACTAGGCATAGAATTACGTAGTGGACAAAACAAAGTCCCTTGTCTTCAAGAGCGTTCATTTCAGCAGATGTGGAGGGTCGTTGGGGAGGCAGACAACAGGAAAACTCATAAATTATGTCGCGTGGTGATGGTTGTAGGTGTCATTAAAGACAATAAAAAGAGGGCAACATGATAGAGTGACTGGGGTGCTGCTTATCTGTAAAAGGAGATGGTAATTCCTACTTTACAGGGTTGATCTAAAGATCACATAAGATGTAACATATGAAGCGCTCGGTGTTGTGCCTGAGACAGAGTACTATAATGGTCACAATTATTGAGTCCTTGTTATGTAATAGACACCATTCCAAGTAGCACAGCTATATTAACTCATGTAATCACCTGGTTTTAGGGATGAGCTAAGGCACAGTTATGTTGCATTACTTTCCTAAGGTCAGATAGTAAACAGATAGTAGAGTTGGAACATGAACCCTAACATTCCGACCTCAGAGCCTATGTTTTCAATGGATTTGCTAGACGTCAGTGGTTCTCTCTGCCTTCTATAACTTGATTTATGGAAGAGGGAGGGACCCAGAGTGGGGCATATTCAATTTTGTTGGAGATGGGGGGCTGGAGGCCAGGTGGGACCTAGGGCAGCTTGTGGAGCAAATGCAAGGGCATCTGGAGAGTGAGTAACCATGTGACCTGGTGATGCAAGTAGATGACAAAGAAGTTGACAGCTGAGGATAATGAAGTCGTGAGATACTGGGACGAAGAGGGTGCTTAATTAGCTCAGGCTGCTGTCACACAATACCATAGACTAGGTCACGCAAACAATAGATGTTTCGTTTGTCGCAGTCCTGGAGGCTGAAGTCTGAGGTTAGGGTGCCAGCACAGTTGGGTTCTGCTGAGTACTCTCTTCCTGTCTTGCAGACTGTTGTCTTCTAGCTGTGTCTTCAACATGGCAGAGAGAGAGGACAACCTCTCTGGCGTCTCTTATGAGGGCACTAATCCCACCATGATAGCCTTACCCTCATGACCTCACCCAACCCTAATTGCCTCCCAAAGGCCCCATCTCCAAATACCATCACATTGGGGGTTAGGGCTTCATTATAAAAACTTGGAGAGGCATACAATTCCGCCCATGGCAGAGGGGATGGACAGGACCTATGGAACTTATTGCCAGAATCTAGATCCACAAAGCTTTCACGGGCAGGAATCTAACAGAGATTAAGCATGATAGGAGAAAGGCCAAGCCCTGGATTTGAGGGGAAAAGTTGCAAAGTCAAAGACTGGAAGAAAATATTTTGGATTTAATTAACAACAAGTTCAGCCCAAGCAGGTAGGGCAATGTGGCCACCAAAAGAGCTGACCTTTCTCCTCTGGCCAGATGCAGACATTCTTGGGACAACATTATATTTGGGCACTCCCACAACACAGTCCTAAGATGTTTTAGGAAGAGCTGTAGTATGGGGTCTCCCTACCCCTAGCACCTCAAAACAAATCCTTCTATCTGCAAACCTCTTCTCCAGGTATTTTCAAACAGACTGTCAGCGGGGCGCCTGGGTGGCTCAGTCGGTTAAGCATCCGACTTCAGCTCAGGTCACGATCTCACGGTCCGTGAGTTCGAGCCCCGCGTCGGGCTCTGGGCTGATGGCTCAGAGCCTGGAACCTGCTTCCGATTCTGTGTCTCCCTCTTTCTCTGCCTCTCCCCCATTCATGCTGTGTCTCTCTCTGTCTCAAAAATAAATAAGCATTAAAAAAATTAAAAAAAAAAACAGACTGTCAGCTTATTATTTGTCGACTTTCCGAAGTGTGGACGTATTAATTTTTTAACTATGTGTTACATAATGTGCCACTATATGCTAGGTCTTTGTATGATAATAGACAGCAGGACTTAAAATTTAAGAAAAATACCTGAAATTTTAATTTGAGAAAATTACAGTTAAGAACAAGCCCAGGATTATTTTATTTTAGTGGTACGAAACCACTTTCAGGCCAGCTCACAGAACATTTAGGAATCCCTGGAGTCCTGCAGGGACACTGTTTGAGAACCATTACTTTACAATCGTCTCTATTCTTTTTTTTTTTTTTTAATGTTTATTCATTTTTGAGAGAGACAGAGACAGAGCAGGAGTTGGGGAAGGGCACAGAGAGAGAGGGAGACACAGAATCCGAAGCAGGCTCCAGGCTCTGAGCTGTTGGCACAGAGCTCGCACTCACGAACCGTGAGATCATGACCTGAGCAGAAGTTGGACGCTTGACTGACTGAGCCACCCGGGTGCCCCTAATCATCTCCATTCTTGTCAACAATGTCACCGCCTCATTAACTGTGGACTTTTTCCCTCTGGCCACAATATCCAGTCCTTCCCCTTCTCTCTCTTCATCATTTCCCCCTGACCTTCATCATTTCTAATTCTCCTCCCTCCATGGGACCCCGACGGGCTATATGGCATGTATACTCAAACATTCATTCCTTCATTTATCCAGCAAGTATTTTTGAGAACCTACTATGTGCCAGGCTCTATGTTAAAAACTGATGGTACAACGATGGCCAGAACCAGGCGCGGTCTCAAGTCTTATGGGACTTCTAGTCTAGTTGGGGAGAAGATCAGCAGGTCCAATTAATTACGCTCATGATTTTAAATTGAGATGACATCTACGAAAGGACAAATTGAGGGGCGCCTGGGTGGCTCAGTGGGTTGAGCGTCTGACTTCAGCTCAGGTCATGATCTCAGCGCGGAGCCCCTGTTTCAGATCATCTGTGCCTCTCTCTCTCTCTCTCTGCCCTTCTCCGGCTCACGCACACTCTCTTTCTCTCAAACATAAATTAACTTTAAAAACGACAACAACAACAACAAACCATCTCTCCATAAGTGAGTGGATAAACAAATGGTAGCACGGCCGTAAATGGAATATTATTACAAACAAACAAACAAAGAACAAATTGATACAGGTGTGAAAAGGGCAAATACCAAAGGCTGCTAATAAACAAGTTCGGTCACCTTTATTCGTAAAGTTACAGAATCATAAGGTAGAGAAGTCATAGGGAGATAATTATCACAAGTTGGGGGGTGAATTCAAAGTCTTAGGATAAACACAGTATATAACTTTGAGTAAATAGCCCAGTTTCACAGCACAAACATTGTAACAAAAGTAGTTTCCTATAAATATATTTATGGTCTCAAGGTTGTTAGTCAGCAATCCTTGAAACCATGAAAACCAACCTGTCCTATTATAAAAGTCATTTGATAGTAAACAAAAAACTCAAGTTTATAATGACAGGATATAAATAAATATAGGTTTAACAGAAACTTTACGGTAACTGATACATCAGTATTCTCCATGCTTTTCGTTACCCAAGATGTAAGGCCAGCTAAGCACTTTATCTCCAAGCGCCTATGTCCACAGTCTTAGAAGATTCCTCATTGGGGCACCTGGGTGGCTCAGTCGGTTAAGCATCTGACTTCAGCTCAGGTCATGATCTCATGGTTCATGAGTCTGAGCCTGTCATCGGGCTCTCTGCTCTCAGCACAGAGCCTGGTTTGGATCCTCTGACTCTCCCTCTCTCTGCCCCTCACTCGCTCATGTGCACATGTGCTCTCTCTCTCTCATTCTCTCTCTCCCTCCTCCCTCTCTCAAATATAAACAAACATTTAAAACAATCATCTCTCAACCCTCTACTGCCACTACTCCGACTTACATCTTTTCCAACTTTCTCCTGAGCTACTAGGACAGCTTCCTGATTGTTCTCTTTGCCCCCAGTATTGACGGTGCCATCCCACTCTCCATACTGGTTGCTTTCAAAAAATGAGCTTTCTACAGTGAGAATCTGTTCGTTCACCCCCATCTGCAAATCTTCACGGCTCTCCCTGCACTTGATCATGATTTGAAACTTCTTGGCAGTGCAGGCCCGCCACAATCCAGTGCCCAGACACACACCTCTTCCTGCGTCATTTCCCACCACCCGCCCTGGCACCCTATGCCCCAGACGTACCTAGTCACACTCTGTCCCACCTTTATGTCTTTGCACATATCCACTGTTCTGCCTGGTAGACCTGGCTTAGTCTCCAAACCCTGGAAAACCTTCTCAGACATCTGCGGCTGCGGCTGTGGGTAGTGTAAGTTACCCTTCGGTTAACCCTTTCTTTGGTGCCTCTTTCATCACGAGTCCCCGCAGCTATTTATTGATTTCTATGCTTGTATCCAGCACAGAGGTGCTCAAACTTCAGTGTGCATATGAATCCTTTGGGGAGCCCATTAAAACACGGATGCCGGAGCCCCACCCCAAAGCTACTGAGGCAGAACTCCTGCGTGAAGTTCCGTCATCTGTATGTTTAATAAGCTTCCCAAGTGACTCTGATGCACTGCAAAGCTTGGGAATGTTGAGAAGTCCCACTTGTGTTCAGAAAAGACTGTTGCCTAAGTCACTGCAGGCAGATAAATGCCCCCCCCCCGCGCCCCCCAGAGGAGGGTAAGCACTATATACCGAGCACTTATTCAGATCAGGTACCTTATTTACTTTTCTCATTAAACTCCCACAAAAACTCTCTAAGGGAGCTACTCATTTCTCCAAAGGAAATGGAGACTCAGAAAGATTAAACCATGTGCCCAAGAGAAACTGGGTGGTGCTGCTGCCCTCCAGAGCTGCTTCTATGACATCCACACTGCCGTGGCCAGTGCCCCTCTCTCTCTCTCTCTCTCTCTCTCTCTGTGCCTCATTTTTCATGGTGC